AAGAGGTTTGGGGCGTGGGGCGGGTTGCTGAAGTGGGGGTGGTGATGGATCCCAACGGCAGGTTCCAGAGTGAGCAGAAGACCCTTGGAGTGAAGGCGCATGGGACGGGCGGGAGGCTGTGTGCTTCAACTTTTAGAGATAACCCAGTGATTTGATGGCGAAAGCAAGCAAGAAAGCGTCAAACCAAATGCCACCCCTTCAAATAGAGGCCACCCCTTCAAATAGAGGGTTGACCAGGTGATTACTTTCAAAGTAGGGGTACGAGCATGGGAAGCAGGGATCAAGAGCTGTTTGTGGACCATGGAGTGTGGTTGATCACAGACCCTGGGTTTCAGAAGGCGGGGAATCGGAGTTGTGCATGATCAGCAGCGGAACTATATTGCGCATAGCTTACGGCGAGCTCACCTGAGGGTAAAATGGGCTCACCATGATGAAGGTCCTTTACTGGAGGGAAAAAAAAGGGGCGCTCGAACTATTGTCAAACAAAAACACACATTCACGTGTTGTATATATTTGCCGTCGGTAGGTCAGTCTCATGACTCATGTTCATTCAATCTTCGGGAGTTGCCAATAATTCCGGATAGATAGTTTGAGCTGAGCAGCCTGAATTTGACATTTGTGCTTTGCCGGTTCGGTAGGCAAACCTTTAGACCTTCTAGCATTGGCTTGGTGTTTCTTCAAATCTGAAAATGTGTAGTCCACGCAAGCCCGGCACATTTTGAGAACTCCCCTTCCCCATGCATTGGCTTCGGACGGCATCCCAGACTCATCCATTGGAGTCTTTGTAGGGCCTGCCACCCGATAGCAAAACGAAAAGGAGCTGGTTACCTACCTATTTGGGGCTTGTGACTGGAATCCACCGAAAAAGCCCTTTACATGGTTGTTGTTGGGAAACACTTTACATTCTTGCTTATTGTGGTTTAGTGGTTGAAATCCAAATCCACTTTGCTAAATTTGAAAAATGTTTGCTCCCTAGCTTCCAACATCAAGCAAGTTTCGCCCCAGCTCCTTCGAACCGGACACGCAAGGAGCTCCGGCGGGCGCTCGCGGAGGCAGGCAAGATTTTTGGGACCGCGCGGGGACCGGTGGAAGTTGGAACGGGGTAGAAGGTTTTGCTTCCAAGCATCGGAAGGTTCATATATCTCCAAAGCGGCTTTTCAGACGTACCTAGAGCGCCAATGACCCTTTAAAATGGTTGGTCATTGCCCTGAATACTGGGGTCATGGACCAATTTTTCAAATGTCATGGAGACTCCAGGTGATGTGGAGTTGATCTGAGAAACTGTTGAAATAATTCGCTTGTTCAGGGCCCCGGTTTGGTGTTACTAGCCCAGGAGCGGTCTGGGCCAAGGTGGATGCAATGGGACCTGTCGCAGGTGGGTGTTGGCTGCTCGGAGGAGGATGTGGCTGAGCTGCTGAGAGGACGATGCGGAAAAGCACTTTGCGAGTTGTGTGACACAAGTTGCTTTGGTGCATTTTGCCAAGGGATGTTAGGACTCAAACACTTTTTGGACAACGAATTTGGGTGTTCCGTATTAAGCCACTAAAAGTGACTCACTTTTAGCAGGGGAGCAGAAAGCAACCCAGGTTGGGTCTACATGATCAACTCAGTTGCCCAAAGCGAATCGACCTTTTAGCCTTTTGGTTTTGCGATTTTGGTTTATCTTTAGTAAAGGCCCCAAAAGGTTAACCTTTTATTTCTGGGTCCTTTGGGCGACTGAGTCAAGTATTCATCATGCATACAGTACATGTAGCCTGGTGGCTTGATTTCTTGCAATTGAGATGTGGGAGGGTCTAGATAAGACCAGTCTGGCAATTCTTGCAGCTGGTTCCCCTTGCGCAACCTGCTGGGGCATCCAACTTGAGCTGACGCGCTCCGGGATTTTGCTTCAGGGTTTTGCGGCAACATCACCCTCCACGCTCCACGGCCCACCGGGCTGGGCGTCAGGTCTGCGCAAATGCACCGACGGAGGTTCCTAGCTTTGCGGCAGAACACTTTTTTTGGTTTATTTCCCCTGTTGGATTTACAGGGAATCACTTCTGGACATAGTTCTCCAACAGCTGAAGGCTATGAGGTCTCTGCCCAGGTAGGCTCGTTCGGGGTGGTTTGGGGCAGGTTTCAGGGAGGTTCAAAAGCCGGGTTCCAGCGGCTTCGCGGGCTGGGGATACCACCTGGATGCTTTTGTTTGTTTGTTTTTTTGCCAGAAAAGACGACTTCAGCAAATGGTCAGGTAACCCCTACTACGGCGAGATCACTACTCGCAATTCAGATCCAGGAACCAGTAAGGTCCATTCCAATGGATTTAACTTGGAAGGATAGTTGGGATTGGATGGGTGGTCTGAGAAGTTCCACTCCTTAAGCGATCCAATAATCCAAGCCACCGGGCTCCAAACCAACTGAGCCACTTGCTCAAAACCGATTTGCCAAAAATAGCTGCGGATCTCCGCCTTCTTAATCCTGATTCTAGGATTACGACCATTTTAGTAGCGATCGGTTTTGA